CATGGGCCGTCAGCAGGACAATGTGGAAGCTTAGACAAAAGCTGACTAAAAAGATGTTAATCTGTAACAACACTGGCTGTATGATATTTGACAATAAATGTACTGGTTTAAACATTGAACCCTTGAAAAAATACTAACTTTTAGTCATGCAAAATCTTGATTTGCTCTTATGACAGCAGTCTACAAAGCAACTTACAGGCCTAACCTTCCAGGCCATCTAATGAAGAGAGGAAGGGCTTGCTGTTCTCGTGACAGGCATTTCTTCTTTTTGTACAAAATTCTTTCAGCAGGTGAAACACTGAAGACTACTCATCCACTTTCACCTGGGGAATGCTGAATTCTGATGTAGTTGCTGTCATTTAACCATCTTATTGAAGCCACCATTGCTACAGGTGGTTGTGCAAGCAGGAAGCATTCCTGGCTCTCTCTTACACCAACAGTGGGGCTATCCAAACTCCTTCTCACACTCACCCCTCCAACAGCAGGAGGGGTGGGGACGTTTACCCTACTGTGGGGAGGTTAGCCAGGCACCTTGCCTCCTCAGCACCATGTGTGGGAAACAACAGTCATTTTACAATGCTGAGAAGGCTGAGGTGCCTGGTCTGAAACCATTTAAAAATAAAAGCTAAGCACAGCAGCAGTATCTGTATCTAGATAGGTTTTTATCTATGAGGCAAGACAGACTTAGAATAATTATATTGGTTATTCTCAAAATTCTCTTGTTGCATTTAAAATTGAGAGTCTGTCTGAAGTTACAAGAAAATAGCCTGGCACTAGGTCTGGATTATAATCATTATATTCAACTATAAGACTGGTGCTTAACCAAAAAAACTTGAATTTTTTATCTACTTACTCGAGGTAGATGATCTTGAGTGTTGTAACTGGCATCGTAATCAGACAGAATGTCAAGTACTTCAGAATACATATCAATCAAAGATTTCTTAAAAAAAAAAAAATGAAAACAGAAAAAGTACAGAAAACACAGCCAATTAACAGAACAAAGACTTCATCTGTATATTCTATAAACTCATCTGTAAAAGTGCATTTATTCTCTCCTGATGGCTCGAAACCTAAACTGTCTATACTGCAGAGGAGATCTCTGTTTTATGAAGTACAATACCAAGCAAAGTCACCCCTTGTCTTCCCTGGATGAAAATACTGCAGATTCATCATGCTGAATAAGCAAAATGAGAGCTCTTACGTACAGTGTAACAGAACAAAACCACTCAGACTTCAGTTTCCAAATTAGAAAACTAAATTGAGTTTCTTCCATTAAACATCTAGACTTGCATTTTCAGCTTGAACAGTAAGCATTAATAAGGGTATAAAGCTACCAATCTCATTCTGTACAAACAAGAACACTTTATCTTCCAGTTCCCAAAAGAAAGAGGAAGATCCATACTGGTCAGTGATGCAGACTAAGGCAGAAAGCATCCATTTTTAAAATGCTCAGGATGCTGGCAGACAAAAGCAAAAGAATACTTAGTTCGATCCCCCTGGATTTATACAGGGCTGTTAAAAGATGTTTCCTAATCCTGTAACTATATTTCTACTAAACTCAGCAAGACCTATGCCAAAAGACTGCGTGTGTGAGAAGAGTTGGAAGTATATCTGTTAGCAAATACAGTGAAAAATCTAATCTACATCAAAAATCTAATCCACATTTCCCACTCACTTAGGTAAGTTATTTCGTTAGATGTAGTAACCCCATTGTGCTCTTCAACTGAAGCCATTTCCAATAGTTAAAGAAAGTATAGAAGTCTTAAGATGTCAAAAAATTAGCAAAGATATATAATAAATGTTAAAAGTTCATCTATGAATTAACTACAGTTTAGAATAGCATCATGAAAAATGTGGCATAATTATATTTCAATGGTGATTTGTGACTCATAAGTACCTTTAACTTCCTCTGATGAATTCCCTTGTCATCTCTTTGCAGTACCAATTTTCTTAGTTCTTTGTTCTCCTTCTCTAACCGCTCGAGCATTCTTTGGTATTTGAGCTACAAAACAGTGGTACAAATATATTCTTGTCATTACAGAAACACTACACTCACATGAGCAAGTCCTTCAGGCAAGTCTTTCAAAGATACAGAAACCTTTGTCATCACTACAGTTTATTAAAAATACAGGACCATTAAGGGAAGAATGTTAGGCTTTCTTCCAGCAACACAACACCTTTGCTTAAAAAGTTTTAGTAAAACCACAGTGTTCAAATTTAGGGATACATAAATCAATCTTTAACCATCTTAAACAAGCACCATTTTCAAAGGAGCTACACATCTGCAGTTGCATCTGACAAATTAGTGTCAGTGGGAACTGGCTGTTCAATCAAGAAGATTGTGGGGCTTCGGTTTGAATTTGCAAGCTTAGTTTAGACCCTTTCTTTACTATATATATCTCTGAAGATGAGACATTAATATAGTTCCAATACCTACTCTGAAAACTGTTTTCTATGCTGTAGCAATGCATTTGGCCTGAGTGTACTTTCTAAAACACATTAACTTTCAAGCTGCTATTAAAAAAAAAAAAAAAAAAAGCTTTCAAAAATAAATATATAAAAAGGTTAACAATATCAAAAAATCCTAACAATACCTGTCATTACTGTTCAAATTTTCCACGTTTTGATTTATTTAAAAGGACATCACTCTGAACAGCACCATCCTCTTTAGCTTCTTAAAGGGATTAAATGTCCTCTTAAATCCCAGAGGGCAGAGAAAAAGCTTTTAAACTGCCCACATCAATTTTCATGCTAAACAGTCCAATCATAGAAACAGCTGTAATTGAAAGAACTGCTCACTGCTTCACAATACAGATATTCGTTAGATTTTCATGGCTTATACATTCTAGCACTGTATCTGCAATCATTTTTCTTGATGGAAGAAAACAAAAACAATACTTTGCTACCCCTGAATGCTACTGAATTTATCATCCCACATATCCTATATGATGTCTATTTTTCCACTTGGACCTCCAATGTTGGGTCAGCAAATGCACTTAAAAGCTTCTTTACTGGAAATAACATTTCCTAAGATTAAGGGGCTAAAATATAACTCCTTAATAAGTAAACTCATGTCCTTTCTGCAACAAATGTGCCATTTAAACATATAAACTATCACAGATATATTTAGTAGCACTGAAGTTATGAAAGAGAGCAGTAGAACGTTACAAGTACAATTAACATGCACAGCAACTTAAAAATTGGAATCTCAACACTGTATTTACATAACACTCTTGGGCTAACTTTACATTTCAGGAATATATAGCACTGAAGACAATGAAGGTATTTAGAAAAAGTATGATTACATATTTGCCCTATTCTTACACTCCCTCCTTGCATTCCGCCAGTCATTGCCAGAGAAAGAACAGACTGAACTGACCCTTGGTTTGTGTCAGCAGTCAACTCCATATTGATTAACTCAAAATTTGAAAAAAGCACTGCGTTTTTACCCGATCTCTTATATTTAGGTGTGCTCTTGTCTAGTAAGTCGCAGTCTGCTGCACATAAATCTCTTCTTAAGACATTAGTAACTCAGAAAAGTTACCTGAGTACGTAAAAGTTCTTCTTGAAGTTGATCAATCTTCTCTTTGTCAGAAACCTAAAAAGAAAAATAAAGGCTACTAACTCATTGTTTAGTTTAGCCACTGCAAGAAACCGAATCACAAACTGAAAGCTTCATTCCACATAAGAAAATTGACTTTAAAAGCAAATAAAATTATTCAAATTAGCATTTGAGATTTAATGCTGATGGGAAGTTCCATCTGCAACAGGAGGTTCGTATTAAAAAAAAAGTCTGAATTCCAATACATGCAAATGCAAAAATTAACCTTTCAAGGCTTAACACTAGAAAAATGAGCTTAGGAAAAAGCATAAATGTAGTAATGTCAGGCAACTAGAGCCAGTCTCAGTCAAATATTCTTAAAATAGGTTCACCAAGATGTGGTAAGTTGTTCAAAACTCCTTTAAATAACACAGAGGCAAAAGCATAAAAGGTGCAGTACAGTGTCATATGATGTAAATATTTACAAGCAACATAAAATCTGATGGTTGACTAATTAAATATTAAGTTTAGAAAATAATAATTTGAAATGACGATAGAGGTAAAAGCTTCAATATTTAAATAAAGCTCATGTGAGATTTACAACTCAAGTTAGCTTCATATCAGAAAAAGCGTATCATTTATCATGCAGAGGACAACTGTCATTTAGACACAAATCAATTTAGATACTATAATTTCACAGCAATTGTTACACATTAAACAAGAAAAAAATCCACAGTTATTCATAGTGATTGATATTATTTAGCTATTAAATCTGTAATACACAGGATTGTGTATTCATGAATACATGAAGAATTCACTTCATAGAAAGCAAACCAAGCTGACACTTGCATATGTATCAGTTATTTTCTCATTCACGAGCAAAAATAGGAAGTGCTGTAAACTGACTTCCTGTCCGTTTCTGTTAATTAGTTCAGTGATAGCAAAAGTGCATCAGAAACAGGGTTAGTTTAGCACACAGAAACTTGATGCATGCAGCCACAAGGTGGTATATGTAAAGAAGCATTTACATATAGACACACTTTAAACACCTCAGACATATAAGGGGAAGATAAAAATCAAAGGGCAAAGAGAATGGAGTGGAGAGTCAAAAGAAGCAAGAAAATAAAGGAAAAAATCGAGGAAAACAAAGTGTTCCCATGTGATGCAGATTTTCAAAGCAGGTCGCATTTTCCTGCTCTCTGCTCTTAAGCAAGCTGTTAAGAGCAAGCTCTCTGCTCTTAAGCTCGAAGTACTTTTGGGGCCTTGATGCATCTTTGAAGTACAGATTATAGACTCGTTACCTCTAACCACCTGAGTGCTTTTATGTACAATATACTTTTGTTAAATACCATAAGCAAAAATATTGCAGAGCTACATGTTGCAAGATCTGAAGTATTATCTAGAATTATCTAGCATTAGATGATTAATTCTAACAAGGACAATTAGACGAGTTCTTTCAAAAATAATAAACAGCTCTAGAATGATGTATATGCTCCAACATATGGTTCAGGTGTGCTTTGCATGTTAGTACATGCAGTAATTTGAACATGTAATTCATACTACTGCTAAAATTTTTTAAGTTGCCAATAAAAGCTGAACTATCAGAACACCCTGAAGTGCTAAATCATATGACTAATCTATGATTTCTGTTCACAAAAAATAAAATAATCAAATATCAAAATATCTCTATATAGGCACATCAATATTTGTTTCATTCAGTTTGGTTTGTACATCATGATTCCTCGTTCTTTCCCCATTGCCACCATAAAGACTCAACAAGATAAGAAAATTGTAGGGCCTTTTATTAATCAAGGGTTCCTGCACAGAGATGCAGATACCTCTTTACTAAGATTACCAGAAGCTCCTTAGGCACATTTTGCACAGTGGTTGCTTTCCAACAAACTTTATCACACATTGTATAAAATAACCATGTGTCTCTGAAAATTCAGTACCTCTGACACCACAGTTATTGGTTCTGTATATTTTCTAAACAGACTATAAAAATTCTAAATCGGTCATCTACAGAAAAACTACAATGATTTCCAGTAATACAAATTAAAGTATCAAGGCCCAGACAAATGCATGCAATAAGCAGCCATGCACAGTGCAGCTACAGAAAGCTAATCAATCATACTGCTAAATCTTTATCAAAAGGTTGGGGGGGAAAAAATGTCAAAAGGGAACAGTTACATTTTTGTTATTAATAACCTCTCCTGACTGTGAGATGGTTTTTACCATTATTTAATTTACAACTGAAGTAGATTTAATATTGAGTAATTAAATTAAAAATGGAAAACATGCAAGTAAATTGGGCAACTGAACTTCCAAGAACAGAAATGAAATGATCATGTTCTCTAGTAGACAGGCAAGCAAGCCAACTCAGTTAAAAAATAAATAAGGTTAGTTTATGCCCTGTCAAAACAACATGCGATGACTTATTTCAATGACAGTAACAATTTCTTCTTCCAAAGGCAATTTGAATCAATGATTGGAATCTTGAAGTTATAGTCTTATACCAAGATATTAAATAAAATAGTTTTTGAAGAAAACTGAAATATTTTTCAATTTTTTTCAAGTGAAATGATTAATGTGACAAACAAGACATATTCCTAGTCATTAGGCATGTATGCCGAACAGCACATTTGAATGCTAAATTAAAACTTCCTACTTTCAACACCCAGAAAACACAAAAAGTACCTGACTTGGAGGACATTTACAAAGATAGCCCTTACAGGTATGTCACAGCTTAGGAATTGTAGAATTAGTTGCAAGAAAGTACTAACAAGGTAGAACTCCACTCAGAGACCAAGCTCATTTTTCTCCAGATTGCATTTATCAGGCTGATAGATTTTTATGCATCAAATATCGTATTGCCTTTCCAGTAATTTTTACATCTTCATACATTTTATTATAAACTTGAAGCTGCTATTCCATACTTCCACTCCCTCAATGAACTGCGTACAATCTTTGTTATACAATGCCTAGATTCATAACTGAGGACAGAATACATCACTGCTCTTTTAAATCCAAACAGAATATTAAGTAAATAAATTTTACAAATGAAATGAGGAAAAATAGCCTTTTTTTTTGTTCTAAAAGGAAGATTAATAGTTTAGAGTGGCCAAGATTTGTAACTCTAAACCATAAAAAAAATAACATAGCAAGGAAGTAAAATATTTGAATTTATGAATGCTACTATAGTTTCAGAGGACTGATTTCCTTTTTTGTTGACAGACTACAAAGCATGACAATTGCAGCTATGCAACTATGTCTAAAAGTTTAATTCACATCTGTGTTTCTCTTTCTGTGGGAGTTATCTTCAGATGTACAGAAGATAAAGTTCTGTATGCAGTGCTCAATTCCAAAGTTATTGAAAAATATAAGTAATCAGAAAGATTTTCTGGGGGCATAGAAGCAGCCAAAGCAGCAATGTAGTTAAGAATTACAGGTTGTAACAGATCAGACAACTAAAATATCCCAATTTAGGAAGCTCTTCCAATTCATCTGAGTCATATAATAATGAAAAAAGTGATCAGAGCTTAAATTCAGTACAATTATATGCAGATGTTCAACAACTACAGCATATCAGTATAAACTGTTCTTTAAGAGGGAAAACAGAAAAAGGAATACCTTTGATAAATATACAATAGAGACTGTTACTAACAGCAGTATTTAACTGTCCATGCAAAAGTGCTTCTAAGAAGCTGCCGTAATTTTCAGGATGGTAACAGTACAAAGCAGGAAAAAATGTTCCCAGAAATACATTGCCTGTAAATAGCTGTACTTTTATAAAGACAGAGCTACTGTAAATAAGCAACAGTAGAGAAAACACTTAACATTTATTCACATACTTTTCTTCAATGCATTTTTAACACACGTACTTTAAATAACAGGTTTTATAGAGGTAGAGAACATACAAGTTCAAAGTGACACAAAGTACCTGTTCTGCTCTTAACACCTTGCTTTAAATACAACTTGGTTAAACTGAAACAGGACTATACATCTACAGTGAAGTTGGCTGTAAAAATTATTTGGACCCATGATTTAATTAGATTTTTCTAGCTCAAATGCAGGAGGCTGAAGTATGTGATTAGTGTGAATACAGTACATATAGTTTTCCTTAAGCCATCACCTTTCGCTTCTGCTGGGAAGAGCCCATGTTATATTGGCCAGCGGCTCTGCGTGCTTCCTCTTCGTGCTGCTGGATTTGTTGTTGTAACAGAATGAGTTCACCAAGCAGGCCCTGCCATGAGTTTACAATAAAAAGGAAAGGAAAAATTTGGGGTGTAAGGAGAATGAAGTTAAAACAAAGAGCATGACAAAGACAGATGAAAACCAGGTATGAATGGGTCAGTTCAAACAAAAGTGAAATTTTGTTAGCAAGATCTCTTGCTAGCCAGCTGGGTGTGGATATAGTCAGCAAAACCATGCATTTTGCAAATCCAGGTAGAACAAACCAATAAACATTTAGCTATATCTTATAAGTACATTCAACTAATTATATTTAACTAAGCAGCTGAATCTTAAAAAAAATAAATAAATAAAAATCAACTATCCAGATTTTAAGCTATTATCTGAGGTTTCAGAATTTTACTTCAATTATTCATACCAAAAGTTCTCAGCAATTTTTCACAACTTAACCACGCGTGTATTTAAATAATGTGTTTTGGATATTCTACACAAAGCTGTGCACAACAGTCAACAGGCTCAACTTCGCTGGTAACACAAAAGCTCATACTTAACTCTTATACCCAGCAATGCAGGCAGTTTATAGAAAGATGATTTTGCCTGCTACTTCACTTTCTCAAACTAGAAGCAAAGTAGTTTCTAGATCATAAAGAAAAAGTTCCCCCTCTACTTCTGTAACACTCCAGTTTAAATTCATGCTGTCATAATACTTCCTAATCATTCCAAAGTCCTTGCAACATAATGCTTACTCATTTACTTCAGCATTTCTATGAAGCTTAGCTCTCTTCTCCGTCCATACCAAATACTCTTGTAATGGTAAGCTGTCTTTCAAAATTGGTTTAGAGATACTATGCCAGCAGCTACTAGAACTTTACGTACAATTTATTTCAGAGAATGTAGACAAAAGTATTAATGAATTATTTACACAAAGCTATTTAAAAAAATATTACATCATCTTCTATGAAAACATTTGGGGAAACGAAAGGTTTCAAAAATGCACTTCAGGAATCAAAACAAACCCTGAAATAGAACTTTGGTGTAAGAATTCAAGACACCTGCCGTCAAGTTACACATTTGTTGCATGGAATACACAGGCATGTACACATAAGGATAAACAACACAGAGCATGGAAAAAAGAAGATAGACAATCAAATGAACAAATATAAACATCTGTTAAATAGTGATTTGTGTAATATTTCAAGAATAGAAAAATCTTCATATTTGTATTTCACTGAACCACTTTAAGATGTAATAAATTTCTATATTGCCAGACTAGTAAACACATAAGAGCTGTGCCAAAAACTCAGCCAAAAGATTTAATTTCTGTAAAGCAGCAAGGAGAGCTCATGGCTACATTCAGTATTAGAGAAGGAATAATAATCTTTTGCTATTTTGCACACACGGGAACTTTCAATATGACCTGAGAATAGTCCCTTTAAAAATCATGTTATGGGTCAAGAAAATACAAGAAAACACTCTGAACAAAGCCTGCCATGAAGGCCTTTTAGAATTTAAACAGGGACTGTAACAAATGTATGAAGTCACCGAATCTATTCAATGTGCAATTACTTCCTAAGGCATCTGCTCCATGTGAATCTTACTCCATAGTAAAGTATGAAAAGCCTTTTTCAAATATAGTTAGTCCAATTAATAAAATATTCAACTAAGAAATACATTAATTTAAGAGGCTTCTCAGTAACACTTTCTTCTTTGTATATATCAGTCAATAATCTTATTCCCTCTATTTTCTATTTCTTACTTTATAGGTTTGAATTTAAGAAAAAAAATAAAAAAAAATCAAGTAATATAAAGAACCTTAAATAGCACAGAACACACAACAACCAGGCTGGTATGAACCAGGACACAAACGAAAAAGTTTATAACTCTCTCACGGGGCACTACCACTGTTTCCTCCCCCAGAAAAGTAATCATTCCAGTGTAAAACCACATTTACTTTAAATAATTTTATCTAGACAAATAAATTAATGGGATTTCAAAATCCAAGTTGTTTACAATCATTATATTATTATTTTTGTTACCAAAGAAACAATGTAAAGAGAGTAACACTAGCTGACAAACAGAGTGGCATAAATCCTGAAAGTCATCAGAGAATCTGGGAGCACAATAAAGACAAAACAAGTACTGTTATTGTTACTGCACATGCTTAAACCCCTGCCCCGCCCCACCCCTGAAACAAACCAAACCCAACGAAAAACCCCCCAAAACGTAAAACAAAACAACACCACACAAAACCAAACCTACCTATAAATCCCACAACAAACCCCAAAACATTCTCTTATATTAAAAGTTAATAGGCTGTATTTCAGTTGAGTATGACTATCTCTTTAATTTAAAACTTTCTCATGACTAACGTATTTGTGTTGCATTTTCACAAGCAACCAAACCCATTCTTTTTGCATATGTTGACTCTTTCCACTTTTTTCCCCATCAGCTTCAGGGTGACTGCTCATAAGAAAAGCTACGCCACAATAAGTTCTTGCAGGAAAAATAATTAAATTTGGAGGGATGTAAAGGGGTGAAAATGATGAGGAAGGTAAGAGATCCGTTTTTAAGAATTTGAATAAATGTCACAATTTTATCCAGAGTACCTATGAAACTGGGAATGAAGTTGGAAATACAACAGTGCTATGAACAGAAAAAAGAAAATTATGGAAACTTTACTCCACAACATTCAAGAAAGAATGAAACAAATGAGAATGTTTAAAAAAAAAAAAAATCCGAGTCAAGCAATAGTCCTTCCTAAAAGTTTCTTTTTCACTCTCCAGCAGTAGCTGTAGTGACGAACTGCAGAATTACTGTGCTTCTTACACCGACTGAAGGTGACCCTGTGTTGGCTGAGTGAGGCCGTCTATGCACTGCCAAATTCTTCTCAACAGTGGATTCAGGTTCAAGGCATGAAACTTTATCAAAGTGCCAAAGGCAGAGAAAGGACTGTGTGGCTGGTTTTTAATTATTTATCTGGCCTCTAATTCCCAAATCAATACTCAAGTCACATTTTTCACACACACTTCATCACAGATAGATAGATAGATACAGTGGGTTTATGTATATATATTTTTATTGGGCTAAACTTTGGAATTTGTTTGTTTTAATAGGAAGCTGAAACTGTTGAGGAAATTGTTTTGGAGACAGACAATATTGCAAGATAATTTTCTAAGTTAACACTGCCATTTGAAGTGCAAGCCTGAACTAGTCCCACACATACAATAAAATACTTTACTACACTATAGCTTTTATAACTAGTCATTTTAATTTAATTATTTTTTAAAAATTGTGCCTTTTTATTGAATAAGAAATTATAAGATAAATACATCAGCTGGCAAGAAGCAGTACAGCCCGATTCAATGTCTGGGACAATGTCCACTCCTCAAGGTTACCTTCCCAACTTACTGGTTTCTCACTCATTCTACAGGAAGTTTTAGAGACCCATCTGAGGACCATGCCAAATAACAGTTCTGCAGAACATTCTTTCAAAGAGGAGGTCCTAGATTCCTTTACCAGTTACCTATCTTTTCCGCAATGAAACAAAGAAAACCAGCTTATCAGACACATTTAATTCCACGATACAGCACTTTATATACGCACAGAGTCACAATTCTTAAACTAGCATTAGTTAGCAGTGGAAAGCATTGAATGAAAAAAGGCCATCTAACCCATTGTCTTGAAAATAATAATTTTGCTTGCCAATAAACTAAGTGATTATGCTTTGTTAGGTGCTCATATGTGCCTTGTGTGAAATGTTATGACCAAAACTGATCATATTAATTAGCAAATCAACACTTCAAAGTGTAACACATGGGATATAATTGGAATAACAAAAATTAATACATCAGACTAAATTTTCTAAATCATACTGGCTTCCTGTGGGCTGGTATTTTCCATGCCGCAGCCAAAGTTTTCTTGGCAACATTCAAATGCAGTTGTCACTGCATCAAAACCAGACCGTAAGTATTAGTGAGATTACTGGTATTCAGCAAACATCTCAGTGAATTTAGTTATCAAAGACAACAAACTAAGATGGCCAGTTCTTCACAAATCAATAGTAAAGTAATTTTTATGTTTTAAACACTGAAACCTGTACTAAGCAATCACTCAGGAGAACATAATATATATAGAGACAGTTTACTGACAAAGGAGAAACAAAAAGCCAAGTTAATTCTTATCACTGTTCTAAAGGGAAAAAAGCAGTTACAACAAGTGAGCATTATATGGGTTTCACTATATAATTCCATGCAGAATTAATGTAGAATAAATGTATACATGCCTGCATATACAGAAATGTCTTTTATGTAAAAGCTTGAGTTATAGTTCATACACTTTCAGTTGCAAAAATAATTACAAATTCCCCAGTATATATTGTTTTTCAATTTGTAAAGAGAAATTTTAAAAATATACACAGGAAAAATGAAAGGCCTTTAAACGAAGAGCAACATTACAATTTAGGAATTTAATAGAAATAAGATCAATTAAAAAAACAAAATTAAACTTCACCTTCTTATCAAAATACAGTAACATGTTTTTCCAAAAGATAGTAACAAAAATGTGATATATGCTCTACATAACTAAAGAAAGTAAAAAAGACACACTGCTTTAAGAAACAGAAATTCTTTATTAAGGCAGAAATCCTTAAGTTAAGAATCATAACTGTGAAAGCGTCAACAACAAGGCTGCAAGCAGAGAAGCTTGAAAATAACTATAGAAGCCTAAACTAACTTCGATAATAAGATATAAACTCAAGTGCCACTGAGAACATGCCCTGAAGAATTGCACATGCACACAAAATAGCAATATTACAAACCAGTTTTCTTAAGAATGCAATTCCTAAAGATTTTTATGACTGCCTTTTATCTTACTTACACCAAAACATTTATCATTGTTCTTTTTCTATATTAAAACCAACAATGCATATGCAGGTCATTTTCAATGATAAATTCTATTTGAGCTGCTTCAAATAAACATCCCCAACTAGCTATTGAAGCACTTTAAAAAAGAATTATCTTTAGTCAAGACATTTTTAGTTTTGAAAGAGAGTAATTACCTTCTTGAACTGTTTGTCATTGTCATATCCCTGGTCAGTAGCTCTGAATGCTGTTTCCCCTGGAGAACCTAGGACATAATTACAGAAACTCATTATAATATGCAAAAGGTACTTAAAAATTCTCAAACTACACCTACTATAATATTGAAGTCTCAACCCCTATGTATTATTAATTCAATAATCTTTGAAGTTCCTATTAAAAAAAATAAAAATTCATCTTAAGAATCTGAAAAAGAAATTATTTTTAAAACTCGTGAAAATTTTATATCATGTTTGTGACTCAGATTAGTTACATCACAAGGCAGCTTCAGTTAGACTCTAAGTTCTGAAAACATTTCAAAATTAATTAGTTCTGGTAAACATGAAAGGATAATACAAATTCTCTTGGCATTACTGTAATGAGAAAAAAAATAAATTCTTTTTTACTGTAATGACACAGATTTTCAAAACAAGCTTCTGGAAAACGTCTGAAATAAAAAGCCTCTTCTAATGACTGTGACAGAGAAGCAACAACTATTAATTTATTTATTCTCACAGGGGAGGATCTAAGAATTTCTAAAACAGTTGGAAAGTATTTGTAAATCAATATTAAACTGCTGTAAATATTTGTGTTTACATTGATATTCACTCCTCTTAGTATAGTAGGGTTTTAAGTTTGCTCTAGAGAGGCAGGTTAAGGGCAGTAAAAAGGGCTTTTACACACCTAACAACAGAAGTAGATCAGAAGCTCCTATGACTTCACTAACCAAATTGTAACCTGTGAAAAATCAGCAGAAGAGGGGAAATAAAAATTATAAATACAAAACAAAATGCAAACAAAGATGAGGGATCTTTGTCTCATTTGGAGGACCACACAATTATAAATGGCAACTATGCCCATGGGAGTACGATACCAAATAATAGGTGACATCTCAGAACACCACTCAGTAACACCACAATTTTAAACAGCCGAAATATATAGGAGATCGTAATCTACTTGTCACACTGTTGAATTTGATCCCTACTTAGGTGCTTGCTGCATTTGTAAGCTTAATAAACTAGTTCCACCATTGACAGTATTTTAAGAAAATGAAAACACACTTCTTATGCACACTGATACGGAAATATTTTTGAAGACACTAAGAGCAGTGACTATAACAACTCACAGATATAATCTTCCACAAATACAGTAATTCTTCATCATTAAGGTATATAGGAATATATATTAAGGAATAATCTTGCTTTCTATTACAAGATGACTGGGTAAAGTTTTGAGTTGTGGTCATTAGTAAGTCAGAGAAGATGATTACATTTCTAAGGTACATTAGACATGTGTACAGACATTTCTAAAAAGCCCACCAATCAGAAATGTCTTATTGAAGTCCTCCAAAACCTAAAAGCCGTTAAGCCTACTACTGCCTGGATACACTGAATTAACAAACGATCCCCACATCCCCGTCTTTTGTGAAGGATTTAGAACTCCTATCTACTTTGAAACGTAGCCCCTGCCTAAGTTAAATCTTCAAGCAAGTCCTTCTGGAGCTGTTTCCAGATGGAAAATATCATTCAATCCAAAAGAACACCTTCGTCACAAATCTCTTATTTTACATACTTGTAAGGTTAAACACCATAATTCTTAATAATCCAGCTCTTTTCTCCTGTAACAGCTGTGGTAATGTTACCATCAGTGCCACTCTTACCTTCTCCAAATTCTAGCTGAACATGCCCAGCTTTTATGACTCACTGAAGCAATCTAGCTTTCAATCTGTTTCTTTAGAGTTGTACAAGAATTTTAATTTTCTAGTCAATTTCACATTTTCGTTCCCTTTATCTGCTACTAGAATTCTTGCTTTTAAAAATACATTACACTTACCTGTGTCCATAACACTTTCACAAGAGATACTCAAAGAAAAGTCATGCATTTTCAGGATCCACTTCCATTTAGTGTCTAAGGACATACCTGCAACCTCATCTTGTAACAGCTTATGTTTTCAAAATTAAAACTAAGCTCAAAAAATGTTCTCACCAGGAGAAAAAAATCCTTTCAGTGAAGCGAAGCTCTCTCCAATCTTGTCAAAATCAGGCAGAAGTTTGGCAAGGTCATCTGTATCAGGAAGGGCTTTGATAAGTTTTTCTAGGAAAACAGTACAACAGTTAATGAGTAGGGTTTTTTCTCTACTATTTCTGAGAAGAAAAATGGTTTATGGCATAAAACCTAGCTGATTTTAAATTTATTTCTTTTTTAAGTAAAGAATTAAGAAGTTTCTTTCCACATGCACCTCCCCCCATTAGTGTTGGGAAAGATTACCAGATCCAAAAAAACAGTTGCTTTTTTAGACTTTGAACTTCCTGGTAAGTTGGCTGCCTCAGTTATTTTAAAATTGCCTAAAACTTATTGCTGCATTTCACCACCATATTCCATGTTATTCTCTCACACATTTTGTAGAGGATGTTTTAAAATTACACAAAACTGTAACTAAGCTCACCTCTTGTGATTTTAGAAAAGCTTATTTTTTAATTTCATAAGCTGACTTTGTAATACTTAAAAAAACCCAAACCTTATTAGCTTAAAAGTACTGTAAAAATGTAGTGTCCTCTAGCAATAAAACCAAGAAAATATTTGTCAGTTATTCAATATCTGCATTTTTCTTTGCAATGCTCACACATGAAGTAAAATCTTACACTTTTTTCTAAAAGACCACCACCTTACGACCCTGCATATATAAGTAACTCAGTGCTTGTTTTTTAGATTTCTATCTTTCACCTGAAAATATGAAAAAACCTACTGTAACTAGAAGGTTCAGGAGAAGTCTGTATTTTCAATTTTCTTTTCTCCTGCATCTTCAAGATAATTTTGTAGATAGGTAGGTTCACTACTGTGCATTTTCAATTGGTCTTTTATGCATACATATCTTTTACTTATCTATTTATAACTTGTGTCATTTTCATAGAAAGAATGAACTTCACGCATACTACCCAAACCTGTGTAAGTCCCCTTGATCATGTTCCAACTCTTCTTTCAATACTGGGATTATATGGCCCTATGAGAGGACCAAGAACATTCTCAAATAAAAGGGAGAATTATGGATTATCAATGCTAAACAATGCTTAATTTCCTCCTACAAATGCACTACCACAAATACCTTGGTAAGATACACACCAAGCTCTAACAATACAAGTTCACTCAAATTACAGCTATAAGGATACTATTGGAGAGAGGATCTGAAGACCTACACCCTTAAGTTTTACATCTGCTAGTTTTCATACAAAGTAACATTTTAGCTTTTGTGATACCAAAGTCAATATGTTCATCAAGCTCCCAAATGAAGTCAGGAACAATCCACTTATATTCATCGAGATCTGGCATCATGTCCTTCCACTGATCATATGTCTAATACAAAAAAGGAAAAAGAATATAGTAGAAATAGAAAAATAAATGTATAGAGAAGCATGTAAGTCTACTGAAAAGCAATACCTACATATATAACATCCTAACCCACTATTTTCAGCTATGAATAATACTACTTGGATCTTTTAAAATCTATACTAGTTCTCTATACAACATTTAATATTTTTAATATTCTCCAAATTCACTCATCTTTATTGTCATTAGTTAGCCAAACAATGATATCTTGCATTTTTGGGTATATACCTAGAACTATTGTTTTGAAGCATATAATCACAACAAAGATAAAATGCATAAAATAGCTTCCACAGATAAATACCTTCTTAGCTGTATAACCACCACCTACAGCAGATCCTAATATAAGATAGCGAACTTTGAGAAGCCTTGATGCTAGTCTAGCTAGCCAAAAGTTCCTGTGGAACTGGTATCCATGTTTTCCATTTAAAAGTTTTGTTTTGCGTAGGGACAGACGATTAAGAGAAGAGAACAGCTGAATGGATATCCTTAACGGAGGTCTTTGAAATTTTGAACTTGGATAGTAGAGATGATGTATACTTCGGGAAACAAGATGCAAGTTTTGAAGTGGTGATTTTCTTTTTATTCCATAGCTGCTATTTGCTAGACTCCGGCAAATGACACTAGAAGAAAGAAACAAAAACTCTTAAGTAACAGATTTCCTCAAAACACCATTAACTCAATAACCTCTTTAGAAGCAATCCACATTACATTTTAGCTGGTTACAGATAAATCAGAGCATCATTATGAATGTACAACTTCCAGCTACTATTGGTATGCTACCAGGAAAACAAAAGCCAGCAAACATCGTTAATGGGTATAGCATTTCTAGTGATTACAGAAATAAAACCTTAAATATCACTTACAAAGTCTGTTATAAATTAAATTTAACTTCCACACTGAACTAAGGCAATTAACATGCCTGTGGTAAAACATAACTTGTACAAATAGCAGCTAAGAGTCCACAGAAGACTATGACCAACTTGCAACATAAAACAAAACTTGACATTTTGGCCTATCTTATTCAAACAAACTTCTAGAGAACACTAATTTTGTACAGAATTCTCAAACCTCAAAAAAACAATACACAGAAAAAATTCCTTTGCAAAATACATTTGTTCTTTTTTGACAAAGCAGATTCCCCTTTGGAGTTGAAGCATTTATTTAATGACATCTTTCAGTTCCTTTCACTACTGCCCAGAGACATGGATACTCCATCCCTGGAAGTGTTCAAGGCCAGCTTTGATGGGGCTTTGAGCAACCTGGTCTAGCAGAACGTTGCTCAATGCAAAATATGAGTGAAGTTACAGTTCCTGAAAACAATGCTTGTCCCTTGATGTGTTTTTCAGGATTTTTCAATATTATCAAGTGCATTTACTTAGAAAGGGGTCAAATATAAAAAAGAAAGTGCTTCACACCATAGAGAAAGCACATTATTTATTCAGGAATCCCAAATCATTTAAAATTAACAGATCTTAAAGAGAATATTAGAATCATATGAAATGGAAAATATTACAGGATTTTCTAATAACATGCTCTATAATCTATACAGTTCTTTGCCTTGAGATTTTCTAGAGATGACGTTGTCTGTGACATGCATATTCTTAATGTCCAAAGAAGTGGAAGGCTTATAAAAGCACTTTTAAGCCAGAAATTGAGCTTTTGGAAGATAAGCTAAAAATCAGGATCATGTAAATTAAGATACTTTCCTCTCTTCAAAGACCAATTCTGCCAATGATCTACGTTTAGAAATTTCCCTTAGTGTAATTGAAAGCTTAAAAAAGGGAACTCTCCTCTGACAGTTATGAAAGTCCTTGTTCGTAAAAGTCACTGTGATTTTGAAGGGTATCCTCTTGCTGCTATATTACAGTATCTAGAAGGCTGTGCTCTTGCAATAACAAATCAGTATCTAGAAAGAGGATAATAAGCAGGAACAGAATAATCCCTAAAGTAGTAACAAGTTCCTCCTTTTTGACATGGAACAACAAGAGCCTGAGAAATTAACCAGAGAGTATCAATACAGAAGTGGCTATGTAACATTAAAAAAAACCACCAAAAAACCAAACAGTGCCTCCACACTGTTTTGTTTCCCACTTTTGAAAAGGTTTTTAAAATCAGGGCATGGTAAGCCTGTAAGAAGCAAGCTGATGACTGGGATGTTATTTCTTTTCTTTTGCAGTCACCACTGTTACATAGACATTTAACATTTTCAGCAGAGACCAAATAGTAGCATATACAATGGCAGCCACTTATTAGTCTCACCTAGGTTAAAAGCATTTGTACTATGGTGTTTCTTCTCTAAGACTGTTCTTTTAAAATAAATTGTGTTTTACAGCATTCATCCTCCAAGTTTAAACTGAAGGACAAACTGAGTTCTATAACAAATTGTCATTGCAAGAATTTGATCCACAAATGTCTTTTGAGTGCTATCACATATGTCAAACCCTACCTGCACACGTAAGACAATATAATTCATTAAGAAAACCCACTACATCATTATACCAAAACTTCTGCTGCTAAAAACTTCTCATGAACACCAACCAAAAAAACCACATTCAGATCTTCACTGAAAAGCGCAGTTACATTGAAGAGGGTGTCAAACAATGCTGTTAAATATTTCATGAGTTCCAAATGTAAAGCCTCTGGAAAGCTGTTTTTAACAACCGTAACAAAACTTAGCCTTCCAGACATCAGTAGCCCTGCTGTCAGAATCTGCCTGACTTTACAGGCCTGCAACCTGACTACTCTTGCATTGCACTAAGATTACAGATGCCTTGTAAAACAAGAAAAAGCAGGCTTTTACTATTGATAACCAAACATTCCACCTGTAGGCCATACCTAATATTTTACACACACTGCCCAAGAAATCCCCACCTCAGCTGGAACAATTTTTTTTTTTTTTTTAAGATAAGATATATACACTTTTAAAAGTTATGTCTATTAGTTATGACTGCAAAGCAGTCTTTCAAACGTAACCCAGCAAAAAGCACCCTGGTGCTTTCTTTCTCATTCAGTACTAGACAACACTTATTTTTGTACTGCTGCTCCCAAATCTGCCAGAACATTGTGAGATGACCAGCCATTCAGTTTCACTGCTCCTGTCTAGAATCGCGTAGAAGAATGAAGAAAAACAAGAGGAATGTAGAGTAGCTGCTGGGGAAGACCAACATTTGGACACGGAGGTGACCCTAACTCCTTAGGGCAGGAATGTGGGAGACGCAGCTCCCTTCCACATCGCACCCGAGGTTCCCGGGGAGATGAAAGATGGGGAATTTCCCCGCCCGAGGGTAGCAGGACTCAAGCTCACCCCTGCGACAAAAACACACACCCCACCACCACCACCTCGCACCCCGACCCG